GCTTGTATACGTGCCAGGCCGGGTCATAACAGTTTCACGGATAGCCTACTTAATCGGGCAGGGAAAGAGTCCTTTAGACTTGACCCTCAGTAGTGAGCCAAATTGAGCAATCCTGCCAGTCGGCGACGACGACCATCCAAGCAATAACGCCTGGAAGAGCGAAATAAAAATAAAAATAAACGATAAAGCGAACAAGAGGGAAGAGGAGTTACTTGCCATAAACAAGGGGATGAAGTTAAGTCGGCAAACTTCTTCCTTGAGCTTCTGATCGTTGAACTGGCACATAGCAACAATCAGGTTGATCACGGCAAGACGACCCCTGCCGAGCGGTGGAGACAGTGTGCCGGTAGTTGTCTCCATTGTATTAAATGTTTGCTGAAAAAAGAAAAAATTAGCGTATTTGCCGATTAGTTCTGGACGCAAGCGTGTCTTAAAAACGCCCTGGGAGTCCGACACCTGCTTGACATCTACAAACAAACCCTGGGATGGGTGCATCACACAATGGCACTTGCTCGGTGTCTGCACTTGCATCGCGTGCTGGAGCCATCAGTCGGCTGGATTATTCAACATGAGTCCGCTAATGATTGTGCGTCGGCAGCTTGTGAATACTGCGCATATGCAAGATGGGTGTCCATAGAACGCGCTACGGAACATACACGTTTCGTTCTGTCCTGGAAATCACTCTGGAGTACCGCCAGCAAGTGCACAGCGGATAGCATTAAAGGCGGAAGAACATAACTGACATAGATAAGGGAAACTGCGGTGGGCAATTCTGGCCTATTGGCCAGTCGTACTCAATTCCAGATTGTGAAAGTCCTGAGGTGGGAAGTCGAGACCTGTGGATTAGAAATCCAACGTCCTAAACATGGGGTTGCTGTCCTGGCGGGTGCGATCAGCTATATTAATAATGACAAGTGGGCACTCACTGATCATCCCGGGCGATCACCAGACGCAGCAAATACAGTACTCTGATGATGGAACCGAGAAAGGCTCCGAAACGTCAATCGCAGTATTGAAATCTGCCAAACCGCTAACAACCAAGGCTAGCCTGATAGTCCATCCGGTGGATCCTAGATGATTACTTAGGAAATCCTGTCTGGCATTCTGCTTACTGCATCCGTTTCGGTGGATTCCATACGTGCACTAAGCAGGGCAAACAAATCGACCCAGGTGCGATTAAATTCACGGTGAGCCTCGGAGCTTAATGGTAGAGCGTTAGCTACGCAAAAGCCTTTCCTGTTGTGTGGGTTCGACTCCCACCGAGGCCGTGAATTATTCACAATCGTGTCAATGGAATTTGCCTATTTATACTTATATGTATATATCTAGTGCACGTTTTGGAAATTTTAATTAAAGCTAAGAAGCCAGTAGACGCTGGCAGCCTACTATGAAGACATACATTTTTATAACTTTATTTTTTTACGGAACGGAATATTGAGTTTCAAAGAAATTCCCAAGCCAAAAGGATCTTGAGCAGCCTCAGTTAGGACTGCAACCTTACTAACTTGTACTTACTGTACAAGTATCTCTAAACTGTCGTAGTTTACATCTGAGGACGCTTATTCGAAACAGGCGGAGAAGTTTTAGACGCCTAAGAACCTGAACACCTTACGTCGTATTAAATAAAATGGGGTACTGTATGCTGTTACCTGACAGCGCTAAAAACATCTGAAATGTGGGTTTTAACTACAACCTTTTTATAAAACGGTCTACAGGCACGATATGCCTGTGAAACCATTCTAGGAGATGGTGATGTCTCAATTAACTGAAAAGTCAAGGTAGATTCACGAATACTAATTGGCTATGATGTTCTGTTCGTGAAAATCGATGATGTCTTTTGGGGGATTCTCATTCCGAACTCTGTCCGAAACTTTGTGTTAAGCTTAAGGTTCAGATGTCCGGGTTCATTGTAGATGAGTAATACCAGTCATGTACTCTAGCTATGCAAATTAATTCACTTTCATCACCGATCAAAATGCGAGTCTGTTGTGGTCTGCAGAGCAGATCTGTCGCGAATGTTAGTAATGCACTTAAAAGCTGTCCTATCGATAAGTATTCGCAAAGGACGGAAATAGGATCAAACTCACGGCTCCCGCTGGGACATGATAGTCTAGGTAGTTAGAGTGTTGGCTGTAAAAAAAACCTTACTTTATCTGTCGTGGGTAAGAATCTTACCACTAGTGCCGAGTTTCTCATGAATGGGTCAAATTAATCTTGAGAAGCAGTTTCGATCACCGGAATCGTACTTTTATTTGTCTGAGCTTTCGAACTCTTGCGAAGTCCATCGTCAGAGATAAAACCGTCAACGAGAGCAAGCAAAATTTACAGGGGGAAGGGGCCAATTAACCGTTAATTGTTCCCTTCCCCCTATAAATGTTGTTTGCTCCCGTTGACGGTTAAATCTCTGACAATGGACTCACGCAAGAGTTCAAAAGCTCAGATAAATAAAACTAGGATTCCGGTGATCGAAACTACTTCTTCTCAATCTATGCACATACCTGGGAT